CAGACGCACACACACACACACACACACACACACACACACACACACACACAAGACAACCCCTTTTTAATATGTGTTTTCTGCATTGCATAGATGCAAAAAAAAGCATAAAAAGTCTAAAAATTTGACGCAAATTTCCCTATGGAGGAAGAGGTCCGTATTTATTAAAAAATGCTCTAAAACCTTCCAGGTTATGTCTCTAAATATCTTCGGTATTTCTTTTAAAAAGTTGTTATTGTTGTTTATGTGTAAAAAGTTTTGTGGTTTTTTCATGAATAATTTTTTATTTCTTTTTTTTTTTTGTGTTTTTTCAATCCAGCCGTGTTGCATTTCTCTTAATTTTTCCAGATATGTGGAAAGTTCGTTCTGGAATTTTGATGCCCTTTTCCAACCTCAGCAACACCCGGCTCGCGATGCTCACGATACATTTTTTGTATCGGATCCGGAAAAAAGTTTTGACTTTCCGCAAGATTATTTGCTGCTAGTCAAAAAGGTTCATTCCGAAGGTGGATATGGTTCGAAAGGGTTTGTTTTTGTTCTCCGTTTTAAGCCAGGAATTTTTTTCGACGTTGCGCTTCTTTCATTACGGGATGGGCACGAGAAACACCCTCAGACGGATTTCAAAATTTGCTTGTTAGAAAAAAAGCCCGGCAGCAGCTTCTTTTTATTTATCAAATTGTTAACAAAGTTTTAAGCCAAAAAAATAAATTCAAAATTAAATTTAGCAAAAAATTAAGTTCAAAAAATTAAATTCGAAAATTAGATTCGAACCAAAAAATTAAATCCAAAATTAAATTCACCAAAAAATTTAATTCAAAATTTTCCTTCAGTTGAATGTGACCATAGATGATTTATTTGAAACCGAAAGCTAATTTGGTAATAATGTAGCAACTTTTGTTATTCTTACGCTGCACATCTCTCTGCATAGTTTTGCAGTTACAATTATGACTGGAAATTGGAAGAAGCGCAGAAAAATGTTTTGAGAACGCATACAACAGCGGTGAGTGCTCGACAATTGTATAAACTTGCGCAAGAGGTAAATTTTAGCTTTTTTTCCATTATGCAAAGTTGCATTTAATTGTCGGATTTTTTTTTTCATACGTTTTTGCATGTATACAAATATCCACAACCCGTGGTGTATGTACGTGTGTGCATGTGTGTATGTGGTGAGGGGAGAGAGGCGTGCGTCTGTCCAGGTATCTTAATTCGGCAACCAAGCAAGCTTCGGTGCTGAAATTTTGCCCATGGGTTCCTCAGTCAAGTACCACTCCATGACGGTGGTAACAGCCTTCGCGCTCGTCTGAGTTTCGCGTATGAATAAATGGCAGTTTTGATGGGAAACCTGATAACTCAGGCTGGAAAAGCTGGGAAACTGAAATTTTAACGGAATGCCACCTGCCCGAATACAACTTAGAGGTTTCGGGTTCTGTCCTTAGGTATGCGTTGTTCTCACATACAGGCGCTTAAAAATTTTGGCAGGAACACTGCTCACTGAACAGCTGAGCCATTATTAAAGAGCGATTGTTAAAAGAAAATAGTTCATTTTCCTTTATACAAATTTTTACGATGATTTACGTCAGTGAGCGCACAAGATAAATGTAAAGCAGCAACAATTCATACAGTTTATGACTTGATTGTTCCAAGTTTAGCGCAAAAACTCATAATCACACCGGCAAGTCTAGTGCGCTCTAGCCTAGAGTTTAGTGATATGTTATTATTTTTACAGGGTTTTAAGCCAGTAAAGATGTTCAGCATTGATCGAGTTTTCCGGAATGAAACACTGGATGCAACACATTTGGCTGAGTTTCATCAGGTTCGTCACTCCTGAACTGTTTTTAACGACGCAGAAATTTGACCCGGAAATTTATTGCTTGGAATAGGTATTATTCATAATCGATTGCACTACGGCAATTAATTCCATAAGATCAAGGTGTAAAATTTGAATTGACGAAATTTTGTTTGAGTAAGCGGAAAAGCTAGCTGAAAAAACTGCAGAATTGCATTGGAAAGCGAAAAAAAAGACTCAGAAACACCAAATTCAAGCAGTTCGAATTGAAAAAAAAAATCGCGGATGCGTCATTCCCGGCCAAGAATAGTCATAATTTCTGCGCTCTTTGTACACGAATAATTTTTTTTACTGTTTTTTAGGTGGAAGGTGTTATTGCTGAGAGAAATTTGACGCTTGCACATGTGATGGGTCTTTTCACTGAATTTTTCCGTAAATGTGGTAAGTTTTTGCATTTTCAAAAAAGCAAAGACAAAATTCCCTCCATAATCGCTCTCTACAAAAGGCGAAAATAGCCCGGGCGGTGCGCACACCTTGAGAAAGTACTTGTTGGCAAGGCTGTCCGCAGTTCCTTCTTGAATGTTGCTTAGATGCATATTTTTGAAGAATTTGACTCCATTGCATGCGTAGTACCAATTTACCACCGGAATAAATGAATGAATCGCTGTGGAATTCGTTGTTCGTCCGATAGAATCGATCCCCAAACCTTCAGCACGGGAGCAGCGCTGTTTACCCGTAAAAATGTAAAAAATCGCGAAAATCGTGTTTTGTTTTTGCATCCTTCGATGACATTCCAGTGTGCTGAGTCTTTCGGTCGCAAAATATTTCTTTGTCGTGGATTTTCAGACTTTTATGAATGTTTTTTAAAGTGCTCCATGCATGCAAATTTGTTTGTTAAAAAAGTTTTCATCCGACGCTTTTCTTTAAAAAATAAAGAATTAAGCCAAGGAGACGATTGCTGGAATTTATAGCAAACTATTTACTACTGAGTACTGTTTTGTTCAACTACAAAATTTATGTGGAAAGATTACCAACTGCGGTACGATACGATTAACCGATAGCTGTTTGTTAAAGTTTTAGAGTTAGGAAAAAAAGGAATTGTAGGGTGATTGAGGAATTGTAGGGTTGAATTATTGGAAAAAAAGCGAATAACAACGCAGCGCAGGATTAATACACTAATTTACAGTGACGCAAAATTTTCCAGGAATCTCGAATCTTCGATTCAAACCAACATATAATCCATACACGGAACCATCGATGGAAATATTTGCTTTCCATCAGGGACTCGATAAATGGGTTGAAATTGGAAATTCGGGAATGTTCCGCCCGGAAATGCTGCTACCAATGGGACTACCTGCAGATGTGAATGTTGCCGGTTATGGATTATCCTTGGAAAGGTTCGGCTTTTGCCGTTTTTTCACTTCTTTGAAGTGCAGCCTCACTGCTTTTTCAATTTTCCAACAACTTTTTGCAGTGAGGAGCAAAGCTGCCTGGGCAGTTGGTTTGGGAATTCAGTGCTGAAAGGGATGAAACACAGACAGACCAACCTACATTTCCCTGGCACATGACTATTCAACATGTCAAAAGATTGTACCATATTAACTTGCCAACTATCTTCCCCGCTAGAATTCTCCAGCGAATTTCATCCTCCCACCTCTAAAATTTAAGAAATTCAGCCGTGCCGAATTCTCCTTAGTTGGTTCGGGCCATTACGTAAGATGGATGGTATGCTTTGACCCAGCAACGGCCGCAAATGTCCGTTTTACAATTTCGACCTTGTCGACCCTGCTTGGAATGTCCAGTTTTGGTCTGGGTTTCTATGGCTCTTTTATACCAGTTGCGTTATTTGAATACACTCGAATTCGGGCGCATTTGTGCCAGACCGATCAATTTTGAATCGCACCTGTCCTTCCCGTTGAATTTTTGCTTCCTGTACAGTGGCAGTGATGATTTGCAATTAATACATTCATATTTATATGATGCAGTGATAACATTTATCACTTACGGCAAGCCATCACATTTTATTCGCTTATTTCTCTCTAAGAAGACAGAATATTACGTTTGAATTATTTCTAGTAATATATGCATCGAGCAGAAAACAATTTTCAGACCAACAATGATTCGATATGGATTCAATAACATACGAGACCTGTTTGGCCCAAAAGTCGATTTACGAATGATTTACGAAAGTCCGATTTGTCGTCTGGAGAAAAGCTGAAGAGCCTTTTAAGGAAGGGAGGGAACGCATTATTTGGTTTTTTATTTGTAACGGTCTTGATGTTTCCTAAAACAACTGTTTCCCGGTTTCTTCTGTCTTTTCTAGAATTTTACAGATAACGGGGGCCATTTTTGGTCAGTTATCCGTTGTCTGAAGAAAGCTTCTGCTTATATTTCGTAGGATTCTGTTGAAGATTCTGCTTGCAAATCTTGTAACGCTCACTTTCAAATTTTATTTAAAGGTCTGAATTTTTTAAAAGTTTACGCCTGCTACGACTTATCGACTCGTTTCGGTGATAAACCGGTGCTGAAACTTGCTGGGAGAAGATTTCCCTTCGGCTTCCTTCTTGGGCGGATTTAGAAAGAAGGAGCTGTCCGA